ACCGAGCAGCAACTCATTGACGTTTTTGTAGGCGTAACGGCCGGAAATCCACCATGCGCGGCTGGGGTGGTAGTTACCGCGGAAGCTGATGACGTCAGTCTGGCTGTTGATTTGTGTGGCGCCGGGGCTGCTGTTGCGCTCATCCTTGCGTTCGTACAGACCCAGGGCATCAAACTTGTTGTTATCGACGGGACGATAGGCAAACCCGACCTGGAAGCGGCTTTGCAGGCTGTTGGCGCCCAACGCAGTGCGCGGCTTGACGATGCTGGCATACTCACGCGCCAGCAGCGTCCAGTCGCTGTCAAGCTTGCGTGCAGTGCCCGCCGTCAACAGCAAGTTGGTGTTATTGGCATCTTCGCGCCACTCAACCCGGCCGGAAGATTTCCAGATCGGGCTGGCGGTGTACTCGAGACCAACTGCCGCTGAAGAAGCATTGCCACTGGTTGCGGCGAGACGCTCCAGGTTGGTGGTCATGCGGATACCCTCGGCAAGGCGCCAGCCATTGCGCAGGCCCAGCGCACGCTGGACTTCCTTGCCAGAGCCGCCATCCCGAAGGCGATATTCACTGTAAAGCGACCCATCCTGCATGTACTGTGTATCTATACCCACAGAGAAGGCGTCAGCAATGGGGCCGACGCCCAGGCCGTAAGCGCCGCTGTACTGGGTGGCGCGCTCATAGCGGCTGTAAAGGCGGGTCTTGTCCGCAACACGCCAGTCGGCGCCGAGGCGGTAGAGGCCTGAACCATTGCCGCTGAATTCACGTTGGGTTTCGGCAGACAGATTCAGGCGGTCGGTAACAGCCCAACGTGCGCCCAGGCGGTACAGGTTGGTGGGGTCAGTCCCGGTGACATTCTGCAACTCGCCATCCAGCGTCAGGGAATCCGTCACCCTGTAAGCCGCACGGGCGAACAGGGAGGTACGCTCGAGGCTGGTCGGCGCGCCGGCCACATTGTTGATGCCTACATTGCAAAGAATGGGCAGGCCGGTCGCAGGATCAATCGACTGGTTTCCTACCTGGCTGATGCCGTAGCCGGTGTTGTAGCCCGCGATCGCGCCTGCAGCTGTTGTGGTGCCCGTCGTGATATTGCTGCAGTTGGTAGCCGTTGTCTGTGTCAGGCTGATGGAGTTTTGCTCAACCCGGCGAACGCCGCCCCCTATGGTCAGGCGGTCGGAGATCTTCAGATCGATGGCCGCAGAGCCCTGCTCGTTCAGGCTTCCTGAAAGACTGTCTTTTGACGTCAGGTATTCGCCTGTGACACTCAGGGCCGGGTTAACGCGATATGAGCCAGATGCGCCGTATTCAGTCCTGCCGCCGGTGAGGCCGGAAGACGAGTTATTGAAGTCTGCGCTGGAGCGCACACCGTAGGCCTTGTAACGCAGGTCGTCATCTGCATGACGAATTTCCACACGGGCAGCCGTACCCTGCACTTCACCAACCTTGCCGGCGAAGTTGGAACTGACATTTGTGTTGTAGCCACCTGCATTTGTATTGACCGTGCTGTTGGTACGGGCCACTTCGGCAAGTATCTCGGTGTTCTTGCTCAGCTTGAGGCTGAGGTTGGCACCCATCACTTCATACGGCGCACCCGGATTTTCATCGCGCGCACCGGCCACACCGACGCTCAGGTTGTCGCTCAGCTTGAGACGGACATCACCGCCATACACGAGGAACTTTGGTCCACCATTACTCACCTCATACGTGATGCGGATGGATATGGGGTTGAGCTGGTCGTCAAAACTTGGTACGGGGGCGCGGAAAACGATCTGGCCAGAGAAGGGCTCGAATTCGTAATCGGTGTTGCGCGCTACAGGTGTGACCTTGATGATGT